CAAATAATCTTTATATACGCGTGTGTCTAAGTACAATTCAATTAATGTATGTTGTATATTAGGATGGTTTTTTTATTGTTGCGTCCAAGGATGTGATATTAAAAGAGGCGATGGTATTCCAATGAGAAAATTTCCTCCGGTTGATTCTCCATTGTTCGAACAATGGAAAATTGCTACGATTGAAAAATATAGATAATCATGTTATAAGGAAAACAAGGATGATTTGCAATCTTCATTTCGCTCAAAAGTACAGAAGAAAACCTTATTTTTATCAGTACGATTTACCGATGTTGACGGAAAACATTTTGGAAGTAGTAGAGGTTGAACAAATTGATATTGTCGATGATAGTAGCAGCATTGTTAGGGACAATTTTCATAATTTAGATCACTCGTATTGTAAAACAGAAGAAATTAGAATTGTTGATAGTGATGTTCTATCTGAAGAGATTGTTGTCGATAGTGATACAGCTATTGATAATAGTCGTATAACTTCAGATGACTTCAACAGGGATACAATAGGAAGAGTAAGTGTTGATGATGGTAATTTAAAAAATAATAATGAAATAAATTCTAGTTTAGGAAGGAAATTGCTAAGAAAAATTCGTTATTTAAGAAATGAAAATGAAAAATTAAAAGTAGAATGTAAAGCATTTGAAATATTTACAAAAATTAGACATTTTATAAGATCCCAAATATCTAATTTTGGCAAAAAAAAAGGGAGGTAACTATTCAATTACTTAATACATTTAAATTACTATTGATTATTGTTTTCTCTTTAGATTGGAGATCATAGACGAGTAATTGTGAACCATCTACGAGGATGGAGTACACACGAGCAAATGAGGATAATCTATGCAATGTGCTATGAGGATAATATTCGCAAATAAAAACATTTTAAATTTAAATTATCTTTTTATATATATAAAGCAATTAATTAACATGTTAAGGACGGCGCTTTTTGGGTTGTCTGCTCCCAGAAAATTTTTCGTGGACGCCTATGGACTGAGTGAAAAGTCAAATATCTTACGTAAATTGTAACCTTTAAACGTTTAAATTTTTCTTATACATTTTTTAATGATATTGAAGCAATTTAACAATTGTGGGAAAAATATTGAAATTTTCATTCAATTCTACTTGAATGAAAATTTGCAGCTGCTCAGCTTCTAAGCAATCTATAGGAAAAAGTGCTATAGGTTTTATAATAAGCAATAATAATAATTGATTATTGCAATTTCTATTCAAGTCGAATATATCATCATGTGCATATTCAAGGTCTAAGCTTGTATTGTATTTGAATAAATTAGTAATGTTTTATATATCTGCTTATGATAATCATATTGTATTTTTAATGCGCAACGGCATTACTTAGGAGCTGAGAAGCGGCAAGTAGCATTCAATGAAAATTTCAAATATGTTTCGCAAGTTAATTTGTAAAGTATGCCTA